AACAAATCATTAAAGTCTATAACAAAACAAACTACTGATCGCATGACTCGAGTCAACAATAAATACCCAGTTTTGGCGAAATTAGTCCATAAAGTGATCCACTCTTTACTGAAAGGTATGTCGAGCTTAGGGTTAGCGCCGGTCCTGAAGAACACAAACTCAAGATCGGATCCGTGGCAGATGCCCATTGTCTTCTCGTCACAGCCCTGCAAATTGCCGCCACTCTGATAGGTCTGCTCCCAGAAGTACACGTTAGCGCCGCCGGTCTGGTGTTGGGCCACGTGTTTGGCAAACAGATAGGTATTGCACTTCAGACCCGTATCGCCGTATATGTCATAATAGGCCCACCGGTTGGCCGAGTAGTTGTCGGGCGCCGCGCCGTTCAGATAAAAGTCGGCCACTTTGTTGGCATCCGTGTCACCAATACTCGGCTTAATCGCTTCAATGAGCTTTTGTTTAGTGATATTACCTTTGATTTCCGGCGCCAATAGCGAGCCCTCGTTTCGCACCACTCCTGCCATCACATCCACGTCTATGTCCATTAAATATGAACATGATTAATTTAGAAACTTATTTATAAACACTTCTAATTAGCAAACTAGTTAACTATACTGTAAAGTAACAGTGGTTATATTAAATTATGCTAAAATTAAAAATATAAAATAATCAATAAATCTAGTCTAAATAAGTATAGCTATTTAGTATTTAATTATATATTTGTAAGTAAACCTAAATTAAAACTACTATAGTATATTTACCATATTTAAAAAACAATATAATCAAATTAAAATTGACCAACATTGAATTAACATACTGTATAAATCTTAATCTGGCTTAAACAACAAAATCGTTATAAAACACTAACCGGTATTAAATTTGCCAGTTTTGATGGCCTCCTGAGCCACGACAGGCATATAGTCGGTGCCAATCATCGCACCGACGGTAATGTCTGCGTAATCGTGAACCTCTTTGGCGTCAACTTTGCGCAAACAGTCTAACCAAGTCTTATCGTCCGTACACTGGAAACGGTTAGCCATACGCCGGGCTTCGGCCAAACCCTTGGCCTTTGTGTGGCTGTCCTTACGGTTGAAGAGCTGAGCGCCCGACTCGAGGATCGCCCGTTTGAATAGCCCTCTGGCGAGTGGGCACAACACCAGCGCCGACACCGATATACTGCCGGCGCTCTCACCGAAGACAGTGATCCGCTCTCTATCGCC